TGAGCCTTCCAACCTTCTAAGTATTCCTTTATATGTGGTTCAGAGTTCTGGGACCATCCCCTGAGCCTGCTTGGTCGGGTATTCTGTGTTGTTGTTGGCGGAGCTCTTTACTGCACTTCCACCTGATCCTCCATCTTGTTTGTTCTCCCCTTCCTGCAGCATTTGAAATGCAAGCTGAGAGCTCTTTTTATTATTCTTTATTGGAATAACTTGAGTAAGTACTTAGTCCATTTACAAAGTATGGAAAAGTTGTCTCGATAGCAAATCTGTGTCGATAGTGATTTCACTCAAATGTACATGCAGGTGTGATTTGTGACATCAAACCTTGATTTTGTCACTTTTTATGTTGGCCCTTGTAGAAAACCAGCCAACAGTTGCCCCCAGCATGATCTCAGGTAGGAAAATATGTACACTCTTCGGCACTAGGCATTTGGAAATGTTAACGTTACCAAAGCAGATTTCCTTACATAAGGTAGGCATCCAACTTCTCCAGATTAATGTTTACCAAGCAAACACTGTTGCTGTTAAGCGCCATCAAGTTGGTTCCGACCCATAGTGACTGTATAGGGTTTCTGAGGAGCAACTAGAGAGCTTGGACCACTGGCTTTGCTGTTTAGACCGATTTTGCAGTCCCACGCGTTAACCCTCAGTGCCACCCCAGGACTCCAATAAGGAAGACTTGGATGTGAAGAAGCATCCCTTTCTGAATTGCTATAAATTGGCTCGTGACTACATCAGTTATGCTGATTTTGGCATTGACGTTGAGAAAATGATCTTTGAACAATAATGCAAAGACAGTGTTGGATCCGGTGCTTTCTCAGTTAGTCACACACTTGTCTAGAAGAATGGGGATCTCCATGGAGATCTGGCCTCTGCCATTTTGTCTTTTTTTGTGGGCTGGACACCTCCCATTTACCTCCTGGCTTTTTTGGGATCAGGACGAAGGTCATAAAGTGAGGTTAGTTATGAAGTCAGATCAGACCACTGCTAATGATAGGCTGTGTGGAGCGTACTCTCTGGTCAGGAAATGACTGATCCACTTTTATAACCTTGATCTGTTCTGATCAATTCCTACAGAATCAGAAGCTCCTCTGATCAAATCCTTTTAGGCTGGAGAGAGCTAAAAACACCCTCTGCTTTCACTTCATTGCACCACAGAAAACACAAAATCAGGCTTTTGCCCTGCATTTTATAAACAACCATCCGTTTGTCTAAGATACTTTGCTAGGTTCTTGGAGATAACCTTTTGTGATGGTGTCTTGGGGAAGGTTGCTTTTCACTTACCTCAGTTCTTAGAAAGAGGAATGATATGAGAAACTGTCTGACTCGGCTGTTTTCTGTAAGGAATGGAATGAAAATGAAGACGTGTCTGCTCTGTACCCTACAGAATTGCTGCCTGCTTCTCCATACAGGGTGTTCTGGATCTGAGCAGGATTCCTCTGGAAGTCTAGATCTTCCTGGTGACATTGCCTTAGCTCTGAGTTACAGAGGAGGCCACAAACCAGACAGGGTGGTGATAAGCCCTTGAGCAGAATATTTCTTCCACTATAAAATGGAAATGGAACAACTTGTCTCCCATAAAGATTGTGTGAGAAGTTAAAGGATTTTAATAGTTTATAGAACTTAGTAGGTTTCTAGTATATTTTCCTTGTTTAAAATAAAACAAGATTTAGCATGTTAGGATAGTTTAAAAAAAAAAAAGTACATATTGTTGTGTAAGGTGTGTTAAGTTTTTATTTTGATATAGTATGCAGGAAACTTTATTATTGATACTGTTTTTGACTTTAGTGTGAATTGAGTAAAGGTTTACAGAGCAGATCATCAGTTTTATATTGAACTAATCATATGCTTTGCTTCAATACAATGATTCCAATCCCCTCCATGTACTAACAGTTAACACTACTGACTTCTGTTCACTTTAATTACTGCATTCCTCCCTGTGTCTCCCGATAAGAAAGTTTATTATTGGGGAGGGGGAATCTCATGACCATCAAGAAAGAGAACCAGGAGTAGAGTCCTTTGGATTCAGAGACAGCAGAGACGTGGCAGAGGAGCAGTGGCAGCAAAACCAAGAGCACAAGACAAAGTGATGGGCTTCCCAGGCCACGGATGGACCAAGCAGGCTCGTTTGTGCAAGTGCCTCCAAGCGCTTAATCAGGGGAGCTAGGGTTTGCTCACCCATGGAGCTAGAGCTGAGTGCCTTCCAGCAGCACAAAAAGTACTTTGTGACATTGCCCAAGCTGAACAGAGGGCAGTGGGCTGGAGCTGATGGCCCAGGAACAGAGAGACATGCCTGTGGGCATGGCTGGGAGGAGGGGCTACTAACTGAAGAACTGTGTCTTGAGCATTTCTGAACCTGTGTTGTATAGCCTGTTAACTTCCTTAAGGAACCTCATAATTGTGGTGGGTGG